GCCCTGCTTTGCACATGTTCAGTTGTTTTCTATTTTTTGACTCAGTGATAAAAATGTAGAGGCCAATCTGCTGACAGCCTAAAGAGTTACTGCTGCTCAAGGGCTCAGTGCTTCAACAAAATGGTAGCCTCCAGCAAGAAGAAACAGGAGTAATGCTGGAGGCAACTTACAGAGCAGACTTATCTTTTGGTAACATCATTATTAATGTGGAATGTTTGTTCCTTGCTAAAGAACATTATTGTATATCAAATAGTTATCAGTAAGATTCCGCTTTAAAGATCTGTTGCAGATAGGTTCCTTACCAAAGACCATGTAAAGCCTAATTAACCACTTCCCGACCGGCCGTTGCATATAAACGGCCAGACGGTGGCACTGCAGGATCGGGTGGCCGTTTAGAAACGGCCTCCCCGCACCCTGCTTGTGCGCGCTCTCTGGGAGCGCGCTGCACTGCGATCCGGTGCCCGCTGTGTCCTCCAGACACAGTGAAACACCGATCGTCAGACGGGACCTCTGTACGAGGTCCCGATCATGTGATCACTGATTGGCCAATCAGTGATCACATGCAAAGTAGTAAGCAAGGTGTCACTTGTGACATCATTGCTTACTACGTGTGAAATCTGTGAATGATCACAGAGGTCACATGGTACAAGGCTATTCACAACAGCCTTGTACCATGTGACAAGCTGTGACCAATCACAGCTCACTCAGTACTTCTCAATGACTGCAAGAATGCAGACAGAGAGAAAGAGAAATGATTGCTTTTACATCCTATATGGGTGTAAAAGCAATCAGTGTAAAAAAAAAAAAAAAAAAAATCTTCATCACCCCCCACAAGTAGTACAGTGTCACCATGGTGACACTGTACTGCTAGGGTGACAGTATGTAAAAAAAATAAAAATAAAAAAATAATAATATAAAAAAATAAAATAAAAATGTAAAAAAAAATGTTTAAAAATAAATAATAAAATAATTTTTGGTTATAAACTAATTTTATTTTTTTTTTTTACTAAAAAGATAACGGAATAAATTTTGGCCAAGATTTATGATGAAATATTTATTTGCAAAATTTTATAAAAAAAACCCACTTTTTTTCAAAATTTTTGGACGTTTTCATTTACATAGCAAAAAAAAAAATAAAAATCCCAGCGGTGAATAAATACCACCAAAATAAAGCTGTATCTGTCTCAAAAAAATGGTAAAAAATTCATTTGGGTACAGTGTTGCATGACCGCGCAATTGTCATTCAAAGTGTGATAGCGCTGAAAGCTGAAAATTGCCCTGGACAGGAAGGGGGTAAAAGTGTCCCGTCTGGAAGTGGTTAAATGACATGTGGTTTACTAAAGCACTGTATAACATAAACAACGAATATTTCAAAATGGCCCAGGATTTGAAGATCGATGGGATTGCTTGAGGTGCCGCCACTTTCACATTTTACCAACTTAGATTTTTGAAATTTTATTTTACTGACTGGTGTTTTTTTTGGTTACCTCATTGATCACTCACCTAAACAGGCTTATCTCCAGCTGTGCAAGGGATGCACTATCCTCACATGAGAAGTTTCAGCACTGAAATCTGCAATCCTGAATAGCTAAGCTACCCCACGTGTACTCAAAAGGCCAACAAAGGTAATATTTCCAAATCTTTACTGTCTGCCTTTGACCATCCATCATTGTTGATTGCCACCAATGTCTACCAGTCTGTGTATTTTTAGTTCAAAGTGGATGAGGGAGTTCACGTTAAATATTAAAAAATAAATAAATAGCATTTTTGGCGTGTGATGCTCAGATGCAGTGTAGTTCTGCTTTAAAGCAGAAGTAAACTATGTTGGTTTGCCATAATGTGCAAGTATGACAGTCAACTTGTGCAATATGTCCAAGGAAAAATAGGGGTGAGTTGCTGAACACAGCTCCCCAACCCGTAAAAATGAATTATCCTCCTTATACCTAATGACTTGACTTTGGTGGCTCTCCACAAAGTGGGTGACCCCCTGAAAAATTGAGAAGTCCACGTGAAAACAAAAAAGAGTGAGAGCACCAAATGATCATCTCAAGAGTCTTTTACAGTTTGGGCAGCACAGTGGCTAAATGGTTAGCACTTACACCTGGCAGTACTAGCGTTGTTGGTTTGAATCCCAGCCACAGCACCTCCTGCCTGGAGTTTGCATGTTCTCCCTGTGCCTGTGTGGGTTTCCTCCGTGCACTCCAGTTTCCTCCCACACTCCAAAGACACACTGGTAGGTTAATTGGATCCTGTCTAAATTGGCCCTAGTATGTGTATGTATGAATGTGAGTTAGGGACCTTAGATTGTACACCCCTTGTGGGTTAGGGACTGATGTGAATGTACAATATATATATAAAGCACTGTGTAAATTGATGGTGCTGTATAAGTACCTAAAATAAATAAATAAAATACAGTTTCTGTCACACATAACAACGTGCCAACATGCCTTTTTGTGGCAAAAGACAGCCAACAAGTTTTACAAAAAAAAAATCAGGGCTTGGATAAATGAGAGAGAAAAGGTGTCTATAGCAGGTATCTGTACATGTCCCTATAGCGTAGGCCACCAAAAGCTCTGAGACTGCTACTGGGCGCCTTCATCTTGGAAGTTATGTCAGCAGCCCCAGCAGACTCATAGTTGTTACTATGTAATATTTACCTTTTATTCTTCCCTGGCAGCCCAACATAAAAGGTTGTATGTAGAGTTGAGGGGAGGGGCAGAGGAGCTTGACCAGCACAAAGAGAAATCAGACACTTTCAGAAGAGGAGAGAGACTTGGGTGAGAGGAAAGGTGTCCAGAAAAATGCAATTCTTAGCATAGGGTTCACAGAATGTTCATTGAAATGGTAAAACATGAACATCAAACTAACATGTTTCAAGGGAATGGATTCCCTCTTCTTTAGGGCTGGTAATGCGTGGGGGGTAGGTTCTGGAGTGGTTTCTACATTTTGAGCTTCCAATTGGCAGGTGTTGGATTGTGATGAAGCTGATGCAGAAAGAGAAGAGAGGGCTATGACATGCAAGAAGAGAGGGGGTTCTGATAGGAAGAAGACTCTTCCTCAAGTGGTCATATTTTCTAGTACGTTCAGAGGCGTATTGCATGTGAATAAAACATAATTTATGGAAAAGAACAAACTTTGCAAGTAAGCATTTAAAATTGTAGATTTATTATAGAACCATCAGTTCAGGACAGTCATCTGACCAATCAACGTCCACCCAGGGCACCAATCATAGACCACTGACCCCTGGTAAAGTAAACCCCACCAATAAAGGTCTGACAGTCACTAGATATAGGGCGGGAAATCATCAGAGGGCAGGAAACACATGAATGGATGAGATTCTGCAAGTATGACCTTTACTTACACCCAAAGGCAGTACCAGGACAGGGTTATCCAGCGCCCAGGGCAAGGTTGCAGAATTGCGCCCCCCTCTATCCTACTGTTAATATATAATGTAGAATGGGTGTACCACTTCTCTACGACTGGGGCAGAATCCCCTCCTGCTCACCCCCTGGCTTGGCCCTGCCCACAAGCAGGTACCCTGCCTCCTGACCCACGAGGGTTGATTTACTAAAGGCAAATAAACTGTACAATCTGCAAGTGCAGTAGCACTCATTTTCCCCAGAGCTTAGTAAATGTGGTGACGCTCTGTTGATTTCCATCATCTAGTCATGTGCAAGTGAAAGTTTGTGTTTTTTTTTTTTTTTTTTTTCTTGTACCTGATTAGGTATTCTTTACAAAGTGAAGCTTCACCACATTCACTGAGCAAAAATGAGTGTAACTGCACTTGCAAAGTGCACAGTCTATTTGCTTTTAGTAAATAAACTCCAGTGGGTCAGGAGGCAGAGTAACTACCTGTGGGTGTAAGTAAAGGTCACACATGCATAATCCTCATCTAGTTGTGTTTCCTGCTATCTGATGATTTCCCACTCACCCTACTTCTAGTGACTATCACAGATTCATTGGTTGGGACATTGTCTTGGAGGAAATTACTAGTTATCTTAAGCTGGACATAGATAGATCGAATCGTGGCTGGTTCAGTAGGGACTGACTGAGATTCGATCTATTTATGGGCAGGCTGGATGTACCCAAGTCGATCCATTCATCGACTTAGAACAACCAGCCTGTTGGATTTTTTACATGCGATTACTGCTGGCCACTATAGTCACTAGCAGTAATCATTGTGTTCTTCAGGCTGGAAAGGCTTCCACACACAATAGCGCTGAGAGAGAGACTCCCTCATCAACACTGACTGTGTTGATGGGGGAATCAAGTGATTTTCTTTCCTTCCACCCATGGTGCAAGGTGGGTGGGTGGATGGATGTCAGGGGTGTACCTAGGCGCTGCACCGGGTGACACCTATCACACAGGTTGACACCGGACCCTCTCCACGAGCTCCACGAGAAGGAAAGTTTTAAAGTAAGCTGGATTGAGCATAATGGATTGGAGTCTGATCCGTTATGTTCCCCAATCCGCAGATCCGATCCATCTTGCAGGGATCGTCGGCTTGCAACCTATACGGGGTTAACTGATCTAGGTAAAGCTGTGCAAGATCCGGGACTTGTCTGTAACCAGGAAACGCAGCCGCGATAGCAGGAAACGCCTCCATCTGATATCACTTTTCGATCATGTGTAGACCGGTGTTGAAAGATCAGTTAACCCCGTATAGGTTGCAAGCCGACGATCCCCGCAAGATGGATCGGATCTGCTGATTGGGGAGCATAATGGATCGGACTCCGATCCATTATGCTCAATCCGCAGATCCAATACATCCTGTGGGGATCGTTGGAGGGGTGACACCAATTGTTACCGCACCAGGTGACACCAACCCTAGGGACGCCCCTTATGGATGTATCAATCTTCTTTCTTTCCACCCATGGTAGAAGGTAGATGGATGGAAGGTGGGTGGATGTTTCAATCTTGGTGGAAGGAAAAGAAGATTGACACAACTGTGACTTTACACTTTAATTAATTTTTAGCATGCATAGGCCTTACAGTCACACCCAGGGGCGGACTGACAACTCATGGGGCCCCCGGGCAATAGGGGATCATGGGGCCCCTGTGTCCTTGCCCAAACTCAAAAAAGCCTATGAAAAAGGTACCAGGGGCATCTCACGGGGCCCCCTACTGACCCCGGGCCCTTGGGCAGTGCTCGAGTTTCCAAATGGTCAGTCCGCCCCTGGTCACACCTACCCTGATGGCATGCTTTCAACAGTCCAGAGCCCCCCCACTGAAGCTCAAGGGTCCTTACAATATTTCATATACACCTTTTTTCAAACATGTTGTGAATGTATCATTTCTAATTCAATGGGTGTTGTTCCTGTCAAAGCTTTGCTTCTGCAATAAGTATGAGTATAGCAGAGAGCTCTTTGATGCCAGACACGCAGAGGAGTAATTTAAACTGCATTAATGACAAATTGCAAGAATTATAGACCTCTCCGTGCCAAGGGGTTAATACTGCAGAGTAAAGTAATAACCGCAGATCATTAAAACATGACATGTGAAGATGAGAGTCTGTTAAAAGCAAAAAGTAATCATGAATAATTCAATGTTATTAGTTTAGTTCTATTGCTAGTAAAAATCACGGACGTTCTTCCACCTGGCAATGAGTATTATTACACTTCTATTATTGTGGCTTATGCAAAATGAAGCATCCTACACAGTCAATAAAATCCACTTAGTCTGCATTAGGTACGTCACAAATTTCATAACAGAGGCAAGTGTGATTGTACCAGACAGAGTTATTAGGGTTTATTGTGACATCATCCTTAACCACTTGCCCTCCAGAGGATTTGCCCCCACCCCTTCCTGACCAAGCTATTTTTTGTGATACGACGCTGTGTTACTTTAACTGACAATTGCACGGTCATACAACATTGTACATAAATAAAATGTATGTCCTTTTTTTCCCACAAATAGAGTTTTCTTTCAGTGGTATTTTATCACCTCTACAGTTTTTATTTTTTGCACTATAAACAAAAAAAGACCGACAATTTAAAAAAAATATATATTTGTAACTTTCTGACACTGGGTGGGAACTGACTAACTGTCACTGACATCCCCAGTGACACTAATACAGTGATTTGTCCTAATAAAAAGCACTGACACTGTACTAATGACACTGGGCAGGAGGGGGGTAACATCTGGAGTGATCTAAGGGTTGACTGTGTGCTATGTGTGTTTCACATTATGTGCTGTGTGTGTTTTTCTATGGAGACATGCTGCTGTTTACACACAGGTCTCTCCCCTGTCAGCTTTACCCGACAATTGCTGGCTGGGACTTGATGATTGACATCCCTAGCACGCGTGCCCCCTACCTAGAAACGCAAATCAGATATTTTAAATATTTTATTCTATCTTTTCATGTGACAACACTGAAGAAATGACACTTTGCTACAATGTAAAGTAGTGAGTGTACAGCTTGTATAACAGTGTAAATTTGCTGTCCCCTCAACATAACTCAACACACAGCCATTAATGTCTAAACTGCTGGCAACAAAAGCGAGTACACCCCTAGGTGACAATGTCCAAATTGGGCCCAACTAGCCATTTTTCCTCCCTGGTGTCATGTGACTTGTTAGTGTTACAAGGTCTCAGGTGTGAATGGGAAGAAGGTGTGTTAAATTTGGCCTTATCGCTCTCACTGTCTCATACTGGTCACTGGAAGTTCAACATGGCACCTCATGACAAAAAACTCATGACAAAAGGATCTGAAAAAAAGAATTGTTGCTCTACATAAAGATGGCCTAGGCTATAAGAAGATTGGCAAGACCCTAAAACTGAGATGCAGCACGGTGGCCAAGACCATACAGCGGTTTAACAGGACAGGTTCCACTCAGAACAGGCCTCGCCATGGTCGACCAAAGAAGTTGAGTGCATGTGCTCAGCGTTGTATTCAGAGGTTGTCTTTGAAAAATAGAAGTATAAGTGCTGCCTGCATTGCTGCAGAGGTTGAAGGGGTGGGGGGGTCAGCTTGTCAGTGCTCAGACCATACGCCGCACACTGCATCAAATTGGTCTGCATGACTGTAGTCCCACAAGGAAGCCTCTTCTAAAGATGATGCGCAAAAAAGCCTGCAAACAGTTTGCTGAAGACAAGCAGACTAAGGACATAAATTACAGGAACCATGTCCTGTGGTCTGGTGAGACCAAGATAAACTGATTTGGTGTCAAGTGTGTGTGGCGGCAACCAGGTGAGGAGTACAAAGACAAGTGTGTCTTGTCTACAGCCAAGCATGGTGGTGGGAGTGTCATGGTCTGGGGCTGCATGAGTGCTGCCGGCACTGGGGAGCTACAGTTCATTGAGGGAACCATGAATGCCAACATGTACTGTGACATACTGAAGCAGAGCATGATCTCCTCCCTTTGGAGACTGGGCCCGCAGGGCAGTATTCCAACATGATAATGACCCAAAACACACCTCCAAGATGACCACTGCCTTGCTAAAGAAGCTGAGGGTAAAGGTGATGGACTGACCAAGCATGTCTCCAGACCTAAACTCAATTGAGCATCTGTGGGGCATCCTCAAACGGAAGGTGGAGGAGCGCAAGGTCTCTAACATCCACTAGCTCCGTGATGCCATCATGGAGGAGTAGAAGAGGACTCCAGTGGCAACCTGTGAAGCTCTGGTGAACTCCATGCTTAAGAGGGTTAAGGCAGTGCTGGGAAATAATGGTGGCCACACAAAATATTGAAACTTTGGGCCCAATTTGGACATTTTCACTTAGGGGTGTACTCACTTTTGTTGCCAGTGGTTTAGACATTAATGGCTGTGTGTTGAGTTATTTTGAGGAGACAGCAAATTTACACTGTTATACAAGCTGTACACTCACTACTTTACATTGTAGCAAAGTGTCATTTCTTCAGTGTTGTCACATGAAAAGATATAATAAAATATTTACAAAAATATGAGGGGGGGTGGACTCACTTCTGTGAGATACTGTATATACGTGATTTTGCACAGCCCTGCCGCCCTGTAATAGCATAAATACAGCTGTTCTGTGCAGTCCTCAGAGGTTTGTTAGAGAACATTAGTAAAAAAAACAGCATCATGAAGGCAAAAGAACAAACCAGACAGGTCAGGGATAAAGTCGTGGAGAAGTTTAAAGCAGGGTTAAGTTAAAGAAAAAAAATTTCCAAGCTTTAAACATCTCACAGAGCACTGTTCCATCAAGAAACGGAAAGAGTATGGCACAACTGCAAACCTACCAAGACATGGCCGTCCACTTAAACTGACAGACCGGGCAAGGAGAGTGTTAATCAGAGAAGCAGCCAAGAGGCCCATGGCAACTCTGGAGGAGCTGCAGAGATCCACAACTCAGGTGGGAGAATCTGTCCACAGGACAACTATTAGTCATGCACTCCACAAATCTGGCCTTTATGGAAGAGTCGCAAGAAGAAAGCCATTGCTGAAAGAAAGCTATAAGAAGTCCCATTAGCAGTTTGTGGAAAAAGGTACTCATCAGATGAGACCAAAATGGAAATGTTTGGCCTAAAAGCAAAACGCTATGTGTGGCAGAAAACTAACACTGCACATCACCCTGAACACACCATCCCCACCGTGAAACATGGTGGTGGCAGCAACATGCTGTGGGGATGCTTTTCTTCAGCAGGGACAGGGAAACTGGTCAGAGTTGATGATCAATTATTTGCCACTTTGTGTTGGTCTATCACATAAAATCCCAATAAAATACATTTACATTTTTGGTTGTAACATGACAAAATGTGGAAAAGTTAAAGGGGTCTGAATACTTTTCAAGGCACTGTATATGAAATTCTGAAAGTCTCTCAAGGTTTTCCACACTGGTGTTTTCTCTGTGGTGGTCCTGTACTCAGTGGTGTATTTAGGTTTTGTGCTGCTCTAGGCAACTCAAAAAATTTGCCAACCCCCCCCCCCCGAACTGGGGAGAGAAGGAGAGAGACTTGCCATCACAGCTCTCTGGAATCCCAGCTCCCTTCCCAGAGTCTCATGGCTGCTCCCCGCAATCCTCTTCTACACCTGCCGCCCAGCCCTGGTGCCCCTCGGAGCCTCCTCATACACAGCGCTATCCACCAACATGACTTTACCACACAGGAACCACCAGCTGAAGGCAGAGCACTGGGCGCATAGGACAACCAGCGTCCCTTCCTCCGGGGGTGGTGCCGCCCTCCTCAAAAATCCTGCCCAAGGCAAATGGCTTGTATGTCTTGTGGTAAATATGCCCCTGCCTTCTTGTATTTCCATCAGTAATGACTCAGTCAGTGAATGAGCTATCTCTGGGCTTCACATTAAGTTCAGGCCAGTATTGTCTGGGGATTGGTTGTTGTATAGACTAAACAAAGGAAAATAGTCTCCTGCACATAAGTGTTATAGCTTGGTGAAGGTGAGAATGGAGGCTCCACGTCACAACAATATCACTTTGGGCCTTGCTGCCCTCTAGGACTGGGGATGTCCTGAAGCCACTACATAAAACGAATAGAAAAGGGTGCACCAACCAAGTGCATCATCCTACAGTATTTATTAATAAAACAACATATAATATATTATTATTAATATACAGTGTTTATATAGCGCCAAAAGGTTTGCTCAGCGCTGTACAATATAGTGGGGGACAGTACATGAGACAATACAGTAACAAAACAGTATACAAGAGGTTTGAGGGCCCTGCTCTTTCGAGCTTACAATCTAGGAGGGAGGGGATAGTGGTACAGGAGGAAGTGGCTGTGGGGGATGTAGTGGTAGGAGGAGTGGAGGAGGTCAGCTGTTAGGTGAGGGTGGGATAGGCTTCGCTGAAGAGATGGGTTTTTAGGGTGCGCCTAAAGGTGAGGAGGGTAGGTGACAGTCTGATGGATTGGGGTAGTGAGTTCCAGAGGATGGGAGAAGTCCTGGAGAAGTCCTGCAGTCGGGCATGGGAGGAGGAGACCAGGGAGCTAGAAAGTAGGAGGTCTTGTGAGGAGCGAAGAGTACGGGTTGGGTGGTATTTGGCTATCAGGTCGGTGAGGTAGTTTGGGGCAGTGTTATGAATGGCTTTGTATGTCAATGTTAGTAGTTTGAATGTAATGCGTTGGGCAATCGGAAGCCAGTGGAGGGAATGACAGAGGGGGGTGGCAGATACGGAGCGGTTGGTAAGGTGGATGAGTCTGGCCACTGAGTTCAGGATAGACTGAGGTGGGGATAGTCTGTAATGAGGTAGGCCGGTGAGGAGGGAGTTGCAGTAGTCGAGTC